ATAACATACAAGCAGCCATTTATTCTGTTAAATTTACTTTTCAACTTTGTAAGTTTTTTTTTTTTTTAATTTAAACCTGTGCTAATAAGAGCTTTAATTTTGAAAACCAGAATTTCCTGTAAACCGTTATTACATGAAAGAGAAAATTATCAAATGAATGTTTTAAATGCCGCATATTTTTTTTATTATTAGAATTATGCTTTTCTTTCATTAAAAATTTTTGTTACCAAACGGTAAGGTAAGTTTACGAAAAAAAATTTCCTCGTTTAGAACTGAGCACGAACAAAAATTTGCTTACCAAATTACATGTATTACATTAAATTAAACAATTTAGTCTTTAAAAGTTTATCGAAACGGTATAACACTTTTCAACACGGTAAAAGTATCAGTGTATTCAAATTTAATACATAATATATGATTAATGAACTTATGTTTGCCGTAATTACAAAAATTATACGTATATTTACCCGTTTACCTTTTTATTGAAATTAATGCTTTCTCATTCATTAATGCGTTGTGAATTCTCATTCGTGGAAAAAACACGAAACATTTAACTACTTTTTTCTACTCCGTAAATAGATAAAATATGTTCAACCCTAATTTATTATTTTTGTTGGCGAAATTTAATTTAATAAAGAAAACGAAATTAATTGCGCACTATTGTTAGTTTACACAGTAAAAACTGTCCGCCTATTTCTCAGGTTTTTACTTATTATTTGTTGAAAATAATGGCACAGCTAACAAGTCTTTATTAAGCAGTTAAAAAAATAAAAGTTTGGTTAACGTATTATTATTTATTTGTATTTCAGATTTTATTTATTAACTAAGGCTAAATAAATTGCATCTTAATGTTTTTGTACACATAAAAAAAATACCTGCTTTTTTTACCCATCCTTTCAAAATTTATATTAGTTGAAAAAAAGAATCAGCTCACAAGCTTTTCTATTCGTTACATTTTTATGAACCAAATTTTATTAATTAACCATGGCAAAATAAACTACCCACAACTATTTTCGTAAACACCGAAAATATATGTAAATTTAAGCATTTTTTCAACACCTTTTATTTTTGGAAATAATGAAACTGTTAAGAAAACTTTTTCTACGCCATAAAAAAAATATATTCTTATATTCATAATACTTTTCAGAAATTCACCTGAACTCATTCATTTTAACACATGAATTGATGACATAATATGGAAAATGTGGGGGGGAAATGTGAAAAATGTATAAATGAAAAAAGGGCTAATTCCGTCAATGTTATGACATTTTGAAAAGGAATGGAAAAAAACGATCATCTTAAAAAATAACGAAGGTAATATCTTCGATGAAAACTGACAAAATATATAATAAAAAAGGGCTATATATAGAATAAAATATAGTTCCATTATTCTTTTGACGAAAAGAAAGAACTTGCCCTAACTATTATTATTTTCCCCTGAAGTCTAATTCCATATAAATAGCGAAGTTATTATAAAATAAGCTCCTCGATCATCAAGCAATTTATTAAATCATCTTTCCTAATTTACTCTCCATCTTCATTCCAGCATTTATTTCCCCATCTCCGGAAAATTTTTCCGGAAAAACTGGAGAGTAATAAGTGTCGTAGGTACTAAGCCTATATGTATAGCATAAAGTGCAAAAAAAAAAAGTCTTCAAAAATTACTGCATTAGTGCCGTTCTAAGCAACTTTACTTAGTTAAAGCGAGGAATAATTTCCAGTTTTTTTAGGGCATCGTTTCCTTTTCCTCATCCTGGCTTTATTTTTTAATCGCCAAAGATTGAGTTTTTACCTCTTTTCAAGTACCTACGATAGATTTTTGTCGATTTCTTTTTGAGCGATGGAATTTGAGCTCCATCGTTAACTGAAGCTATATATATATTTGTGTGCTTTTTAGAAACTTCTATTACCAAACTACCCTCCTACCCCTATTGTTTTAAAACTAAATGAGGGAATGGTACTTTTGTTTTAAAAAAAAATGGGGGAAAATAATCCCCATCCCTCACATAAAAGGGAAAAAAATCTTATTTTTCATATCTCATTCGCGCCAAGTTATGATGAGCCCGTAAATTGTTCTTCCCCGCTAAGCAATAAAAGGGAAGACCATTAGTTCCTTCGATATAGCCCTTCTATTTCCTTTATCCGAAGTATAGCCGTATTTAAGAGAAGTAACTAAAAGAGATAAACACGGTCTTTCAATGAGTTAATGCCGCCAATATTAAAGATTTATCTTTTAGTGCTTCTTGGTTTTCTCAAGTTCTTTATTTCTAGAGCAATCAGTCAGATATACGTGCTTCTTGAAGTAACACCACCGACGATATCTTCTAGAATATCCCGGCACCCCCTTTCTTTCATTTCATTTCATTTTTTTCCCCCACACCGGTTTTGATAATGCATGTAAGAGTTGATAATTGTGCTCTCGGCTTTTCCAAGAGAAGTTGCAATATTATCGGTTTTGTGAAACGTTAGTTGGAAATTTATTGGCGATGATTTGCTTTTTGAGAACTCTTATCTGAGCTGCAATTATATGTCACATTTCATTCGAAATGTGCTGATTTGGTTTTAAGAAAAATTCCACTTGTAGTGTATTTTATAATAGAAACATATTTGAAATAGATATAGAAATGGGTAAATAAACTGAGTAGTACATCGTATTTTAGTATCATTATCTGATTTATAGAGTTAAAGTACTTTTAGCAATAATTAAAACTGACTGATACAGAGAAAAGATTTTAGTAGTAAAGTCACGTCATAAACAATAAATGTTTTTTTTTAACGGTAAGTGTGCTTTTTTTGTATCTGTTTTATCGTAAATAAAAAAGTTAAATAGTTTATGTCGAACCAGTAAGAAAAACAGAAATTTAAAAAGGAAACATATTTAAAATGGATATAGGAATGAGCAAATAAGCTGAAATATGTGTCGTATTTTTGATTCATTATCTGGCTTGTACAGTGAAAGTACTTTTAACAATAATTAAAACCAACTGATATAGAGAAAATATTTTAATAGTAAAGTCACGTAATATAGCGGTAAACTGAACCATAAATGTTTGTTTTTTTAACTGTAAAAGTGTTTGCCTTAAATTTTTGTTTTTATCGTAAATAAGTCAACAAAATATTTTATCTAAAACCGGTTGGGGAAAAAAACAAACTCCACGTGTAGTGCATTTCACAATGGAAATATATTTGAAATAGACATAGAAATCAGTAAATAAACATTAAAGTTTATCGTGTTTTAGAATCATTATCTGACTTATAGCGTAAAAGTAATCTTAGCAATTATTAAAACTAACTGATATAGAGAAAAGATTTTAATAGTAAAGTCACGTAATATTGCAGTGAACTTAACTGTAAGTGTTTTTTTTAAACCGTTAGTGTATTTTATGTATTAATTTTATTTTTTGGTTTATGTTTTAATTATAAATAAGTCAATGAAATATTTTCTAAGAAATCGGAGAAAATTAGTGATTTTTTCATAATTATTCTGAGAAATTTATTTGTCGTTCAGCACATTAAAATCCACTTTTTACTTCAAAATTATTAATTGTAGTATTTTTTACATCAGATCTCACTTTCTTTAATTATAGATACAATTTCATAATTAAAAAGATATAGTCTCCATTTTCATAACAAATTTATTCAACTATAATGAAACATTAATCTATACATCTTGTACAGTGTTCTAAAAGGCTGTTTTATAGCGCTGAAAGTTTTTCTCACTTAAGATGTGAGGAAAAAATCTAAAAGTTTTTTTCCTTATCATTTATACATAGTTTAATTATTTTTTAAAATTTCTTTAAACACAATAACTGTTTAAATTTCTAAAAAAATATACTTGTGAAAGATATTATTACATCGTAAAAACACATCTGACAATTCAAATATTAACTGCAGTTTCTTTTCCTTCAAAAATACATTTTAGTTGTCATTCCTTAACATTGAGTAATTCCTTTCAATAGTTTATGAAATCATATTTACATTCAAATTATTATACGTTTAGAATACCAAATTTTATATTACTATTTATTCTAATAGTACTATTAGAATAACTAAATTTCAGTTCAGCTTATAATGACATCAAAAGTATTGAAGAAATTTCATAGTGAATTAAGATATTGGATGCCATTTTGGTGTAATCTTCAATGGTGAAATTTATATTTATATATTTTGCAGCTTCGTTTATTCATTTTTTGTTCTTATAAAATATCCCACGTGCAAAAATAAAACCGTTTCCTTGTATATGCTCCAAGCAAACATTTCGGCAAAGTGACGACATAACTATCATCATTTCCTAGAAGAAACGAATTTCGTCAAAAATAAAAAAATATTTCGTTATTCTTTTTTTTTCCTCGAAAAAAAAACTCTCACAGTGCTTAATGTACTGAACTTGAAGCATCATATAGGTGGATCAATATCATCCCAACACAAGACGAACAGCTAGAACAGAGATAATTTTCACCCATGCCAGAAGCGGAATTCGAACTCCGGATATGGTGCCAACTCCTTGACCACTATACAGCCGGTCTGCTTAATTCGACACTTCATTTTCGATTGTCCAGTCTTCATTCCAGTTTCATCATTCTAATTAACAATCTCCCACAATGTACTATGATGAGGTTTCGAGTTGAGAAAACATTTTCTTCACTTATTTGAAAGTTCTCGTATCGTCACAAATCACGTGATTTCGTGACGAAACGATTCTAAAAACTAACGAAATAGAACTCAAAAATTGCCGAATCGTCAAAAGTGAGAGTTACATTTCTAAGAGTGAGTCTCAGTGCAAAACTTGCACACAATACACAATATTATCATATGACACATCATTTAATAAAGAATCATTTGAAATACATTTTGCATACAAAAAATTTCCGCAAATTTTAGTTCGGTTTGAAAAACAAAACTGTAATAACTTTACCGTTCGTCAAATTCACCTTAAAATACTTAACTTATCATTAAAAACTTCTAAAAAATTAAAAATGTAAAACAATAAATGAACATACCTGTAAAGACGGGGAAATGGGTGGTTTCGGTGAGTCGAAGATTTTGATGATTGGTGTGGAAACTACTCGAGAAGAATATTGACAAGTAAAATGAACTTACGGGAAGAGCAGGTTTGATGAAGAAATGATTGTAGGGGTGTGATGGATTTTAAATCGTCTATGATTATATTTAGTGACTTTCAACGGGTGGCAATGGTATTCTCACCTAGAAAGACAAATATACACTCTGTAAATAACTGAAAGATAATAGTGTTAAACAAGCATTTTTAGTAAGCAACATAGACTACAACTATAAGTTAACTATAAATTAAAGTTTTAGACAGTATAAAACTTTCTCTTAATGAAACACACAGAAAATGACGTATTTTTAGTGAGCAACATAGACTACAACTATAAGTTAAAGTTTTAGACAATATAAAACTTTCTCTCAATGAAACACACAGAAAATGACGCATTTTTAGAGAGCAACATAGACTACAACTGTAAGTTTAAGTTTTAGACAATATAAAAATTTCTCTCAATGAAACACACAGAAAATGAAGTATTTTTAGTGAGCAACATAAACATAGACTACAACGATAAGTTAACTATGAGTTAAAATTTTAGACGATATAAAACTTTCTATCAATGCAACACACAGAAAATGAAGTATTTTTAGTAAGCAACAGGGACAAACTAAAAATTCACATTTTTGGTTTATATAAAAACCTCTCTTGGAGTGACATTTTGATAATAGTTTAAGAAAAGTATTATTAAGGACAATACAGAAAAACTATAAGTTTAAATTTTAAACAGGTATTTTTAGTAAGCATTTTAGTAAGCATAATTTTTAGTCTTTTTCTTTTAATCGTAATATAAAAAAGAAGACTAATAAAAATCATTACGCAAAATTGTAAGAAAATATACATAAATTAGTTCACGGAATATTTCCCATGTGTTTTTGGATTGGGTGCAGCCAGAAACAGTTCAAATTCAAACGTTTATAAAATCTATAGTTTCAACTAAACTTAAACTTGAAATCTGTTCCATGAAACAAGAATTTTCATTTTTTGACAAAATTACAAAGTTTCTAACAAACTGTATGAGATTCTATAATAGCTTAGGTTATGATTTGGAAAATGTAATTCATTCACCATGGTAATCGTGAATTGAGAAAAATTAACGAAATCAAATGATGGAGAAAAACTAATATGGGTCATTTTTACCAAGACTGAAATTATTTCACTGAATATTTTCGATGTGATCTTGGATTGGGTGCAGCCAGAGACAGTTTAAATTCAAGAGTTCATAAAGTCTACCGGTTGCACAAATAAATTGATCCGTTTTGGTAGAAATGATTGAAGGTGACCTCCAAGTTTCTTGTTCATAAACTAACCCACTGTAAAAAATGGTTAAGGCAACTCAATTTCCGAGATTTCTCTACAGTTTCAACTAAACTTAAACTTGAAATCTGTTTTGTCATGAAACAAGAGTTTTCATTTCTTGACAAAATTACAAAGTTTCTGAATATGTGACTCTATAATTGCTTAGGTTATGAGCTGGAAAATGTAATTCTTTCACCATGGTTATGGTGAATTGAGAAAAATTAACGAAATCAAATGAAGGAGGACAACTTATATGGGTCATGATGGTGACGAAATGGATGTTTGTAAAGATGCGTTTTAATAGGTAATGTATATTTTCACCAATCTCGTGAGTTACACGTCCAGTTTTTGAGCATGAATCTCTCAATGTTTGAAAGAATGAGTAAACAATGGACACGTTTAAAAATTCATAAAATATTTGCACAGATCTAATTTCAGCATACAAAAAAACATCCAGTTTTAAAAATTTAAAATATTTTCCATTCAGTCCATTCTCCGAAAAAATTAACAGTAACTATTACTATAACTAAAACTAGTTGACTTTAAGAAAAATAGCAGTCATATTAATTTTCAAATATCGTTCAGTAGTTAAATAGCAGAAGGGAAAAAAAAGTTTTTCAAGCTCAAAATAAAACCGGGCCGCGTCCAAAATGTCGAAGTTCAGACTGCAATAAATCAGAAGATGCGTTGTTCTTGTTTCAAACAAATTGAGGGTTTCAAAAATGTGTAACATATATTAGATGATAAAAAAGAAAAGGCGTAATATACATTTTTTTTCTTCCCAAAGGCCGATGTTGTACGATGTTATGTTGTTTGTAATTTAGAAATACCATGGAAACTGGATGTACATCAATATAGAACTAGAGGACCTGAAAAATAGCTGGCCGCCTCGATAGTCATTTGGTACGTGATCCGGTTACGGTTGTGACGACATTTTATTTATTTACTGACTAGTTTTAATACCAACTCTCTTACCTTGCATTCCAATATTATGTTGCATAAACTGGAACACTTTTTTTTTATTGATTCGATCATAATCCGAAATAGTCCTAGAACAGTAGACCATAGTTTTTTATTCCTTCATGGAAAGCACTTAGTTAATTAAGTTTAAGATAAATGTGCTTTTATTTGACGAAGTATTTAAAATTTTCTAAAAACATTATTGTCCTTAACTTAAAGAAAAAAGTGAGAATTTTAATTCGCGAAAAAAATTCAGTATTCGTCATAATTTCCATGTATATTTGATAAATGTCTAATGTAGCTTTTGAATCTTAAGGAAATAACTAAGAAATTTAATTCTGGTAACTAATTCAATACTCGTCATAATGTCATTATATAATTTGTAAATGTCTAATACAGATTTTTAATATCTTTAACTTTAGAAAAGTACTGAGAATTTTAATTCTGGTAACAGATGCAATATTCATCGTATTGTAGTTGTACATTTAGTAAATGTCTAAATGTCTAATACAACTTTTGAATATCCTTAACTTAAAGAAAATACTGAGAATTTTAATTCTGGAAACCGATGCAATATTCGTCATAATGTCCTTGTAAATTTCGCAAATTTATAACCTAGCTTTTAAAAATCCTTAACTTCTAAGAAAATAACTAAGAATTTTAATTCTGGTGAAAAATGCAATATTCGTCATAATGTCATTATGTAATTTATAAATGTCTAATACAGCTATTAAATATCTTCAACTTAAGGAAAGTACTGAGAATTTTAATTCTGGAAACAGATGCAATATTAATCATAATGTAGTTGTATATTTTGTGAATGTCTAATATAGCTTTGATTATCTAACATTGTTCGAAATATTTAAAATAAATTTTGCCAATAAATTTAAATCAAAATAAATTGCACCTATACATTTTAACTGGTACCTTTTGCAAGAAAATACCTATGTAAATTTGTAAGCACAGCATTTCAATTCCAAGTCTACTATCTTGAATTCCAATATTAAACACAAAAACCGCATAATTTTTATTATTGATTTCACATAAATTTAATAGTTAACGTATTTCTAAACATTTAGGCAATTGTAAATGTTTGGAATTGCAAATATATAATAATACTGTAATTTGAAAATTTCAGTAAAGTAAAATATCTAAATGGAAAACAAAAATCAAACAATAGACATAATTCTTTATCTTACACATTTAAAGTTAACTGAGTGAAGTTAACAAAGATAAACTTAAGGAAGTATAAATCAATTAAATAAAAGTTATATATATATATATCCCCCCCCTTTTTTTTCATATGTCTATAATTTTCCTATATTTTATCTTCATTTTGAACTTATATATATATTGTTTTTCTAAATAAAAAATTAAGAGGAGAGGAGAGTTTAAAATATTGAAAGACGCGCCTCTAAAATTCAAAAATTTTCAAAGAAATAAAGACAATTTAAATTTTAAAATGACAAAGTAATTTTTTGATAAAGTAATATTAAACTATGGAGGATAAAGTAGAACACTAAAACACAAAAGTTTTAATAAATTATTGAAACGAATTAATACAATCAAATTTACGCCAATGTTCACTTATGTTCCATCGTAGTAAAAGACAGTTTTACAAAATGTTATGTATTCGGCACGATGATCTATTTATTACAAAATCTTAGCTAAATGTTTCTCAGTCCATAACACGATTGTTTTTCACAAATTTTCAAAAGTAAAACAAATCTTCAAAACACACTTAAAATCTAAACGAACCCCTTTTTCGGGGCTTCCATCTCCAATACTTTTTCTGTTGTTAAGTAGACATCACGAAGACACAGGAAAAGTGAAGGGATAAATTTATAGCCCAATCCATTTCCAGTTTTGTTCCCTTTTCAATTGTTTCCTTTTTTTTATTATTATTTTTTTCCACTTCGACGAAGGTGATTCCCATCCCCCTATTCGATATAATAACATTTTGTGGCGATTCCTGTTATCGGTTCAATACTGGATTTAAGTCCAAAAAGTGATCATCGAAATAAAGTAAAACTGGATAAAAGAAAAGAGAAATCTCGTAAATAAATAACGAACGGTACTTTAAAAAGATTTCTGAGTTTTTTTCGTTTTGTGAGTTCAAGTAGCTTACGCCCCCGTCTCTTGCAATAGTATTGGCGGATTGGAAGATTGAAAAAAAAAAAACGGAAAAAACTTTGTAGCCTCGCTAAGGGATATATAAGTGAAATTTCATTTTGGTTGAAAGCTTGCGTTAAAAATTGATTATCCCTCTAAAGAAAGTGGGATTTTAAGTTGAGTGGGATAGTTGTACTTACAAAATGCTTAATAGGGTACAGGATGATTCGAATTTTTGATTTTAAAGAATTGTTTTTATTGTTTGGTCATCACCGTCAGTAGCTTTTGAAATTGATGAAAGACTTGGGGGAATATAATAATAATACGCAATTTAAAACTGCAACAGTAGAGCGGATTTGATTAAAATCCGAACGATTTCTAAGCAGGAAATAAAATGTTTCTGTATAGAGTGCACGGTGAAAAAGTTCTGGTAAAATTACCGTGTTATATAGTAATGATATAATTCTATAATAAAACAAACATATAGGGTATTCAAACTATTTGGTAATTTTTCCGTTAATATGGTAACGGTTTACCGGAAATTCTGGTTTTCAAAATTAATTCTCATTACCATACATTTAGTACAAAATTCAAAACTGAAAAGTAACTTTAACCGAATAAATGGCTTTTATGTCATGCTCTGAGATATCATAATTACCAAATTTAACCATATTTACTAAATTTTACTACATATTATAAAACTATATTTTATTATTAATTTTACCAAAATCATTACTAAAGCACTTCGTAAAAAATTAACGAACATTTT